TTCATCTTCATTCTTTTATGTGTAATGTGTTGGGTTTTTTTCTGGTACATGATTTTAGAATTTTCTCATGTTTTAAGCAGTTTTATTTAATGTTTCTTTACATGTATTCAAGTACTTGAACTTCATGAACATGTGAGTTTATTATTTTTTCACTAAATTTGGAATATTTTCTAAAAAATAGTCATACTTCTTCAGAAAGTCTGAGTACCTATTTTAGGTTATTTAAATCCCACACCTGCCTATTCTACTATTTCATTTTGTGTATGGGTGTTTTGTCTGTATATATGTGTATCATGTGCTCTGGTGGCCCTGAGGGCCATATGCCCTGGAACTGGAGTCACAGACAGTTGAGAGTCATCAAGCAGGTACTGGGAATTAAACCTAGGTCCTCCAGGAGAACAATCCACACTCTTAACTACTGAGCCATCTCTTTACCCCTCCCTTAATATATTTTTACTCTTGTTTCATTTTCGATAGTTTATATCACTTTGTCTTTTGCAGAATTACTTTCTCTTTATGTAACTATGGTATGGTATTTATGTGTATGGTGGTGGTGGTGGAGGTGGTGGTGGTGGTGAGTGTAGCATCCCACATATGATGGTTAGAGCACAACTTTCAGCAGCTGTTTTTTACCTTTCACCTTGTTTTGAGGTGGAGTTTTTCTTGTTTCTGACAATTCACAGCATGCACCATGCTAGCAAACCCACAAACATCTGGGTGATTCTACTGTCTTCATCTTATGTCTATCCAGAGGTTTATGGGGATTACACATGAGGTTTAGATACTACCACATCTGGTTTTCATGTAGGCTCTGGGTATCCTGAGGTCATCAAGCTTAATTTTACCTACAGAGCCATCTCCCTAGCCTGCAATAATAGATTTTAATACATGTGGTTATTTAAATATGCTTGGCCCATGGGAAGTGGCATTATTAGAAGATATGACCATGTAGGAATAGGTGTGGCCTTGTTTGGAGAAAGTATGCCACTGTGTAGTCAGGCTTTGAAGGCTCCTAGGCTCAAGCTCCATGCAATGTGGAAGAGACCCCTGCCCTTCCTGACTGTCTGTGGAAGACAGTTTCCTCCTAGCTGCCCTTGGATCAAGATGATTCCTCCAGCACCAACTCAGCCTGCATGGTACCTTACTTCTCAGCATGATGATAATGGACTGAACCTCTGTAACTGTAAGCTAGCAGCATTAAATATTTGCCTTTATAAGAGTTGCCTTGGTCAGCAGAGAGGGGCCACCCAGAACCCCCTCTGACTGGTGATCTGAATTCTTGCTTAGGCTGAGAGGCTAAGCACTGCACGGGAATATAAATAAAAGTTAAAAATATCTCTCTGGGTTCCCTGAGAGACAAGCCTGACTGCATAGGGGTTGATGTGAAAAGTATCCCCTCTTCAGGAAAAAGACATCGGGATGGGTATGGCCCTCATGCCTCACTGGACAGTGAATGACAGGGGGACCGGAGCCATTACAAGGTCTCCTTCAATTACTGGAGGTCAGGCCTCTATCCCACCTTTGCAAGATTAGTATCACCACAAGGAGATGTCAGGAGCAGCCCAGCTTATAGACTGAAGGCCTAAAATCAGCCATAGGCCTAAAATCAGCAACAGTCCTGTCATACATGCATGCTAATACAAAGTCTTGGGTCTCTGTGGATAAACACTGAAACAGATGGCTGTAAGCTATTGTAAACAGGCAGCTTTTGTGGAAATTTACAAGCCTGAGTAGTCATAGACCTTGTAAATAGGTAGCCTTGGCAGATATTACCAACTTAGATAAGGACAAGTGAATCATAGGCAGAGTCATAGTGACCTGTCCCCTGAACCTTTACCCACCCGATACCCTGTTTTGAAAGATATCTGTACTCCCCCTGAACACCCATACTCCGGTGTCATCACCTTCCCCATGTACTGCCTTTTTGTGTTTATAATCCCTGTGTGAATAAGTAAAAATTACAATTTGATTTAAAAATAATAATAATAAATAAATAAATAAATTGTAAAGTAAAAAAAAAGAAAAGAAAAATAATAAACCATTTTGGAGTTAAAAAAAAATTGCTTTGGCCATGGTGTCTCTTTGCAGCAATAGAACACTAACTAAGACAATATCCTTGACTATCATTTTTAGCTAGTTATTCTAGCTAAAATTCTCTGAGTAATTTCAGAATTTTGTTCTGTTGCTTCATTTTTTCATCCTTATGAGTAATGTTTTCTTTGGCATGCCTGGGAAGTTTAGATTGATCTAGTCATGTGTGTTTAATATCAAGTACAGTAGTGTTCTTATAGACAATATCTGTGATTCTTTTTGTGTCATACAATTAAATTACTTGGACAAGTTTTGGCCCTCTAAGATTTGCTTTTACATTTTGTTCAGTTAGCATGTCACAGCTTTTAATCTTGGGTTTATTTTTAACAGGGCTGTAATTCAGGTAGCCTCCCCAGTCATAAGGATTATCCTGCACTAAAAACCAGGAGCTGCCCTTGCCCTGTGCAAGCTGCAGAGGTTGTTGCAGGCTGTGCAGGCTGTTTTCATCTTTTTCCTGTTGCTAAATGAAATATTTGAAACTAGGTATTAAGAGAAAAGAAAGAGGGAGAGAGAAAGAGAGAAGAGGAGAGGGAGAGGGACAGAGGGTCAGAGGGACAGAGAGAGAGGAATAAAGTTATTTGTCCAAGTTTTAGAGGCACATTCCACCAAACCTTGGTTGGATATATTTGAAAAATGTTGAACATGTATTGTACACATACAAAAAATCTTTCCTTGTAACCGTCTACTAAATAGTACAGTACAACAGCAATTTCCATAGTGTATACATTGTGTTAAGTAAAGGGAATCTTCAGGCGTTTCAATACATGTCAAAAGATACATGTAAGCTTGTGCATATCTCATACTGTTGTATGTAGCGAGTGAGCATCTGAGGATTTTGATATTAGTGTGGCTCTTAGACTCAATCCTCTGAGATGCAAAGGACAGTTGGTACATATGTTAGAGTTATTAAAGTTGTTTAATTTAAAAATTGATATTTTGCCATCCCAGGGCTTCTGATTTCTTGATACCTGATATCAACATTGGAAAGGTATAAAATATCAAATATAATACATGTACAATTATGTATTTCTAACATGTACATAGGCAAATACAATGCTGAGGTCAAGAAACCCAGGAATAGGGCTGGGGATGTAGCTTGTGTTTAAATGCTTATGCCCCCTAGAACCATGTAAATCCAGCCATGGTAGTGTGTTGCAGACAGAAGCATTCAGAAGCTGGTGGGCCAGCTGGACTGGTATGCACACCCACCATAGAACAAGTCTCTCTCCAGCACAGTGGATGGCCATGACTGACAGCAGGTGTTGTCCTGACTTCCACATGTATGCTATAGTGTATATGTCTGTACATACACAAATCATAGACACAAACACATACGAAGAAAAAATAAAATAATAAAAACACACACACTTTTTAAATAAACCAATGAACATCCTTTTCTAATGTATGGATGTTTTGGCCAGGCCTCTATGAAAAGGAATTATTTAAGATGAAGATAAAAGGAAGTGGTAGACACACACAGAAACTATTGCAGTAACTTCTGTAGGCATGCAGTGGCGACGTAGAGTCTGTCCCATCTTATCCCCCTTGGTGTTGTAAAATGAGAGAAACCATAGACAGTGCATGAACTCAATAGTGTGATAGCTCCTGTCAAACTTCACAGAAACAGGTGGAATAATTTGCTCATTTTGGAGTTGGATTAGAAAGATAGAAATAGGTTTTGAATATATTTGGGAAGTATATTTATAAGCTATGGACTGGATGTTCTGACTGGAGGGAAGAGGAGAACATGATCTCTAGGCCTCTAGCTAGAGTCCAGTATGGGTAGCGCAGCAAATGAGACCTCTAAAGGCATTAATCTGAAATAGGACATGCAGAGTTCCAGCATTTTCTTCCCTCATTGATCTATATGAGACAATGCTATAAAATACTTTTATTCTTTTATATGTACCCATTACACAAAAAAGTCAGAAACCAGTGAATAGTGGCATTGACCAATTCTCTGTTGATAAGAGAAAAAGTATATACAAACACACATGCACATGCATATACATATTTGGGAGAGGAGGGGATGTTATGTATAAACTCATTATACATGGAAGATGATCTTGAATGTCTAATTTTTGTGCCCCTACCTCCTGGGTGCTGGGATTATAGACATATACCACCACACTTGGTTTATACAATATTTGAGAGCCAGCTCAGGGCTTCATAGCACTGAATAATAAGAGTTATATCCACAGGTAAGGGGAAAAATGAAAATATATAAAAACACCCATATGTCTCAGTGTCATATGACTATGAAGACCAGATTTTAGATCAAAACATGTTATAAAAGGGTGTGGCAGCTACCTATAATCCCAAATCAAGGAAAGCAGAGAAAAGATCACCTAGGAAGCTGGCTGTCCAGACTAGCTGAAGCATTGCTCATCTCTGGGTTCAGGGAAAAGCCCTGCCTCCACACATATAGTGGACAGGGATCAAGGAAGACACCTGATATTCACCTCAGGCCTACATATACATGCATGTATGTTACACAGTCATATACAAAAATGTTTTTAAAACTTAAAGAATACATGGACAGTATCTCAAGGTTCTGTCCACTCAGTGGCAGTGTGTCTGTGTGCCAAAGGAATACTCATGACCTTTGCCTCAGCTGTTACCCTATAGGAATTACTAGAGAATATACAGGTTAGAAAAAAATTTAACACAGATTGATGCCATATGTCATTGGTACTAGAACTGGAGGTGTAGGTGCAATGGAGTAGATCTGCCTTCTATAATCCCACAGGACTACCCCATCCCCACTGCCTGAGCTGAAGACACCCTGCTTTGAGTGGTTTCCTTACAATTAATATACCAACAGCACAATGCTGTTTTGTCTTCATTTGTACTTCAATGTATTAGTGGTTTCATTCTGATGAATTCTTTATGAACCTTTGGTTTTACAGGCTTTGCTGTCAGTACATGATACTGTGGCTCAAAAGAGCTATGACCCTGTATTGCCTCCCATGCCTGATGAGATTGATGATGAGGAAGATTCAGTGAAAATTATTCGCCTGGTCAAGAACAGAGAGCCCTTGGTAAGACTGAGATAGCCCCTGGTGAAACTGAGATAGCCCCTGGTGAGACTGAGATAGCCTCCTGTGAGACCGAGAGAGTCCCTGGTGAGACTGAGAGAGCCCCTAGTGAGACTGAGAGAGCCCCTGGTGAGACCAAGAGAGCCTCTTGTGAGACTGAGAGAGCCCCTGCCAAGATAGCCCCTGGTGAGACTGAGATAGCTCCTGGTAAGATGGAGAGAGCCCCTGATGAGACTGAGATAGCCCCTGGTGAAACTGAGAGAGCCCCTGGTGAGACTGAGAGAGCTCCTGGTGAGACTGAGAGAACCCCTGGTGAGACTGAGAGAGCCCCTGGTGAGACTGAGAGAGCTCCTGGTGAGACTCAGATAGCCCCTGGTGAGACTGGCTGCATTTCATCTTCAGATATGAGGAGATCTCACAGGGAGCCATATCAGATGAACTTAAAGTATTTACATTTCTCTTTAAGGTATGCTTCTTCTTGGTCCATACACCCTAAAAATAAATGGAGCATCTGCATCCAGAAGATATGATGTAGAATAACAAAGAAAATCCAAATAAAATAATAGCCATTCTACTGCTTTTTAATAGTAATAACCTTGAAATATAACCTACTGGCATGTGTAAGAGAAAATTGAACATATAGCCAAGTATGCCTGATTGGAAACTAAGTGACGCAGTTGGAAATGGTGCTTTGGGCTGTTCTGGAAAGCTGATTTATTTTAAAATAATGAAGAGAAATTAACCTGGCATTTAACATTTGACAATATAAATACAACTGTTTATTTTGGCATTAGAATTCCTGTGATGTTGAACCACAGCAAGGGACCTGGGATTGGTGGAATAATGCCCCATTTGTACCCAAGGAAGTCATGTCCTAATCTCCAGAGCCCTGGGTGGACTCTGTTATGGATCTCATGAAAAACAAAACAAAGCAAAACAAACAAAAAAAGCCCAGATTATCCAAATGGATATTTTGTTTTCATGATGTATGTCTGTGTCACATATGTGCTTGGTGCATTGATCTCCTGGGACTGGAGGTACAGCCGGTTGTGAACCAACATGTGGGTACTGGGAATTGAACCTGGGTCTTTTGTAAGATTACTCCATACTTTTAACCATTGAGCCATCTCTCCAGCCTCCTATCATGAGACATATTATAAGGACAAAAATGAAATGAGCAAGTATTCCAAAAGTAAAGTAACCTAAGATGGATGGTATAAAGAAAAAAATGTTTTACATGAGTTGGAAGAGATTGAAGATCTTATGAATCTTTAATTGTGCTGAAACACTAAGTGACATATCGCTTGAGGTTTGTACATTGTAAGGAATAGTTCCCATGTCTGCTCCCCTGACCTGTTCCTTTTTGTAGTAGTCTCTAGTTTTTCCAGGTAAGACTTATTTCACACCTCTTGTCTTACACCCCACTTGACAGATCTTCCCACACATGCCTTTTTCTTCATTCACCTTTTTTTTTTTTTTGACTTGAAAGGGTGCTACCATTAAAAAAGATGAGCAGAGCGGAGGAATCATTGTGGCCCGGATCATGCGGGGAGGAGCTGCAGATAGAAGTGGTGAGAGCCTCTTTATCCATTCATGAGAACAAGCTGTGTGGTGTTCTGAGAGTACCTACGTGGGTAACAGTCTTCTGATCTAATGTAGCAGAACCAAGAACAAGATGTTTCTCACTATGTTGAAATGTACACACCATACAAGTAAATGGTAGACAAATCCCCCTCTGTGATCTTAGCTTATACAGTCTTCCAAAGTTTTCTCCACAGTACTGAGGTCAAACCTATGACCTTGGCCATTCTACTCAAGTGTCTCTACCACAGAGATAGAGCCCTCACCTACAAGTTATATTATGACCCATTTTACTCCTTTTGATATCAAAAATACATACTACTTAGTATATACAATTTTTAAAATGAATTTACAAATTTTAGGTCCTGGGAGGATAGCTTAGTTAGAAAAATGTTTGTTGTATAAGTGTGAGGACCAAGTTTAATCAACAACATACACATTAAAATCCAAGTATGGTGGTATGTGCTTATCATCCTAGTTCTGGAGAATTCCAGAGGCCAGCCAGTGTAACCAGATCTTGGTGTGTTCCAGGCCAATGGGAGATCCATTCTCAAAAACAAAGTAGTTTCCCTCTTAAATTTTGATGCCAGATTTGACCACTGATCTGTGTACATACATGCAAACATGATATGCATGACATGTACACAGTCATACCAAATAAAAATAGTAAATAATAAAAATGAATTACTTTCTAAGGTATCAATCATTAGCATTTCTAGATAGAGATCAAGGCCCTGTTATCTGCTTGTGCAATAGTCATCATTAGAGACATGCAGAATCGAAGAGTGTGAGGTGTGAAGCCCTCCCTTTAGCACTGAAGTCACTTTGAGGTATGGCTGCCAGATGAGCGTTGGGAACAGTCACAAGTCACAGTGTTGCTTTGTGGCTCTGCTCACATACTGGGTTTTGTATTTGTCAGGTCTTATTCACGTGGGTGATGAGCTGAGGGAAGTGAATGGGATCTCAGTGGAAGACAAGAGGCCTGAGGAAATAATACAGATTTTGGTAAGCTGTTACCTTTTTGTAAATCTTAGGTTTCTCGGCCTGATTCGGTTTCAGCCCTTCAGATTTAGAGTGCTGCTCACGTACTTAGAAATGCTTCTAATGTTTAGTGTCACTATGCTCCTTTACAAAATGGATGTAGGCAGAAATAACAACCTGCTGAAGTGGAATGAGGTTATAATAACTTGGGAGTTTCTGCTCAGTGTAAACATGGCGTCTGAACTGCTGGTGTGAGGCTTTCTGCCCCAGTCTCATAGTGCTAAAACTTGAACGGAACTGTGTGAGACATAGGAATTGTTACGTCTTAAGTTCAGGTTAGTGGTAAGATGGAGACTACCTCTTTGTACACCAAAAAATGCAAACCCATAGCAATAATAGAAAGATGACTGAGTACCTCCAACAGATGTCTTCATAAGTATCCGCCAACAAGGAGGTCTGCTTTGGTCTGAGTCAATGAGCTGTGTGTGGGTCATGGAATTACTGTTTTAATTAAATGGGAATAGACATTCTTTCTGTCTTTAAATCTTTCAATGGATTTGTTATACACACTGTTTACCTTACTATCAGAATAAAACTGACCTGGCTGTGCTTAGTTGCTTTTCTAATGCATATTGCTGCCAAGTGAATCTCACCCATATTCATAACTACAGAAAGGACAGTATCTGGTATCAGACTTTTATTTCACCAATTATGGATACCAATGCTTAAATGCCAGGATCTCATCTTTGTGTCATATGTTCTGGTCAATGACGATTGCACTCATTTCAAGCCTCATTCATAGTGTGTGCTTGTGTCTGTCTTGAGGTAACGTAACATGGATGGCAATAGATGTATTGACACCTTAAGTGCACAGGTTGTAAAAGTGTAAATGTGATCTTGAACTGACTTGACACATTTTAGAGCTTTCTCATGTTTCTGGAATTTCTACAAACTTAGTTTTCTGGCTTCTTCTAAGGAGAAAACCAAGACTATAAATTCCTAGATGTGTTTATCTCCCTACCTGTCTGTCATATGTTCCCCTTACCCCCAGCAATGACCTTTTCTTTGATCCCTGATACCAGAGTCAGTCCCAGGGAGCAATTACATTTAAGATAATACCCAGCACCAAAGAGGAGACACCTTCTAAAGAAGGCAAGGTGAGTCTTTAAAATATTGTTTGGGTGGGTGATTTAATGTTATTTTTTTTCAACTAATACATATCTGCTTTGAAAATTGCCATTTCTTAAGTCTAAGTTGCAAGAATGCAGACAGACACATTTACCTCTCCCGTTTTTCCTTCCCTCCCAGATATTTATCAAAGCGCTCTTTGACTACGATCCTAAGGAAGACAAGGCGATCCCTTGTAGAGAGGCAGGGCTGTCTTTCAGGAAGGGTGACATTCTTCAGATTATGAGCCAAGATGATGTGACATGGTGGCAGGCTAAGCATGAAGGAGACGCCAACCCCAGAGCAGGCCTGATTCCCTCAAAGCACTTCCAGGAACGGTGAGCCACAGTGACCATTCCTCGAATGACTTTCTATTTCCTGCAGAATACCACTCAAGCACAGTTATGATAAAAATGAGCTTCAAACCCTGCCTGTGAATCTGTTATCCCGTGGGTTTGGATTGGGAACTCTGTTTTGTCTAACTCCATGAATAATGACCAAAAGTAATATGGCAATACCAGGTCCTCTTGGGGTTCTGATGTGAAACCAGCAGACACTCACACAATAATACCTGGGTGTGTGCTTCAGGGAAAGATGGAAAAGAGAAGAGTCCTCTCAGGAAAGGCGGGGTAATTTAAAATAGTGGATTTAATTAATTTGAAAGGATCATCTTGAGTTTTTTCAAGACCATCTGTACAAATTTTATATTTTGGTGCTATGTTAACCTTGACCCTGGGCTGAAAGTTGATAGGCACATTGACCTTTTCTTCCCCCAGGAGACTGGCTCTGAGACGACCAGAAATAGTACTTCAGCCTCTGAAACTTTCCAACAGGAAATCATGTAAGTTTGTTAATAAGAATGCACAGTAACCCGATCCTGCTGCTGGTTTTTGACTGTTAAAGCAGGTGCTCCGGGGAGGAGGGAGTCATGGTATCCTGAAGTAGCTCTTGGGCCATCATGTCACAGAAACCCAACACAGAAGTAATTCACAGTAATGTGATAGCTTTGCAAGAAAAAAAATGTGGTAAGTTGTTCATTGTAATACGCTACTCACTGTGAGACAATCATCAGTAACTTCCAATGCTTACAGACTGCATAAATAGAGCCTACAGCACAACTCTGCTCCCCCACCCAAACCAGA